TTCATTTGTGATCTCTCAAGATGGTTGGTTGTACTGGATTTAATTTATTAGCATCAGAGTAGATGGTGCTCAATGCAAATGTACACCACATTTTGTGGATTTTAATTTTGATAATTTTTTTTCCCACTTCACCATTATGAAATCTCAATACAGTTTGCAGATGTAACCAGATAAAACTGAAAAAGATTTTAAGGTAGCATACCTCTTTGTCATGATGTGTGGTTGAGGAGAGCGGTGAGAGAGACGCCGGGAATCCCAGGTAGTCATGATAAGAGATAATTTAATGATAAACCAGGAGGAACAACAGAAAATACTGGCAGCACAGGAACAGACACAGACGTGAGACACGACGAGGATCCGACACAGACAAAGACAACAGGTGGGGTTAAATACACAGGGAAGGTAATCAGGGAACGGGATACAGCTGGGAGCAATCAACCGGGAAGACAGATTCACAGGGGAAACTGGACTAACACAGAAAAACTACACAGAAAACACAGATCCTAACACTCTTCACAATCTGGCAAAGGTGTAGGTGATAGTAATTACAGTAGAAATGTGAGGCTGTTAAAATATTCTGTGACTAAAGATGATGGTAATAGAGAAATGCATGAGCGGCTTTTTTATTATTATTATTATTATTATTATTATTATTATTTTTACTTGGGAAAAAAATACTAACCAGACATTGCCCGTGCGTGGATAGATCGATTATGCAATAATATAAACAGAAAATGGTTTAGAAATGCTAGAATACAACATGTTTCACAATAAAACATATTTGAACCACTTTGGGGTGGTTTGACATTTAGAAACTCTAATTTTCTAGCTGTACCTGAAAGTGTCATGCACAGCTGTTGGGTAAACTCCTCACCCCCCCCACCCCCCCCAAACCCCCCATCTCATTAGCGGAGATTCCTCAGACGCTGCAGGTAGCCGTATGACGTCACGTCCGCTAACTTGTTAGCCTAGCATTGATGTTGTTTCAGGTGAGTAATTCAGCTAAATGCAGTGAGGTACTGCTTTTTAAAGAAGTGTAACTTTTTTGCCCCCGTCTCTTTTCTCCACTGAGGCTGCATGAGAAACCGTAATGTTCACAGAAAGCCGAGTTGAGTGAGTCCTCTATTTATTTTTGTGTCGTTTTTTTTTTTTTTTAAGTTGCGCTGCAGAGCGTTCGGTACACATCCGGTCCATAACTGACCAACAGGATTGAGAGAGTGGAGAGCCATAGAAAGTCACTGCAACAACCCTAAATTCAGTTTCCCTAAATGAACAGCAACCTTCCTCCTTCTGTGACATCTAACTAGAACAGAAATGACAAAACCTCCACTACAAAAGTCCATAATCCCATAAAGTGTTGCTCAGCGTAGATCATGACCTGCACACCTTCTGTCAGGACTGAGATAAATTAACATTACATTAACTCAGCCTGTTGGGTAATAATTCAGGCCTGGAGGAATTCCAGTGCTAAAGATACAAGACCATCAGGTTAACACCCACATAAAGCATAAACAATTTACTATCAGTTTCTTGTGTGAGATAAAAATAAACTACTGGGGGCTATCATAGACTAATTTGGAATAATTCTCTTTTTATAGGTAACCCGAGCCATCAACCTGATTACTTGATTAAAAATCCAACACCTTTCAGCTTCTTGTGTGGTCTAATTTCTGGACATCACCAGAAACCAGCTTGCAGCTCCTAAAAGCTGCAAATTGGTCCTGTTAGCAAATCGGTCACAGAAGAAAGCTGTAAATCAGACTAACAAAAACTTAGTATTGCTGATTGTTTCCATGAGTTGGATACTTTGAAGACAAGAATGGATTAACATCACTACAAATGAGAAAAGATTGATGGTTTTCTGCAGACATGTGGTTTTCACTCTGGGGTGTCAACATGAGCCCCACCCAAAGGCTGCAGTGTAGAAACATCAAAGGCAACAACAATAACCAAACATGAGAGAAGTAGAGAATTATAGTTTTATTTTATGCATTTTAAAACATGACAAAGGCAGATCTTTAATGATCAGCTGCTAACACATGTTGGAATCTGGGCAGTCATTGCATGCTTTGATAATCGTACATTTGGAATATATTGTTACTGAAAGTGATATTGCAAATAGACTTCGCAAATCTCAAATCATGTTCAAGTTATTTTCAGTGTAAGCCTATTTAGTTAATGACTGAAATGGTAAAATGTTTAATATTTTGAGCGAGGCGTGGTGAAATACACTCGAAGCATCAGTCTGTTATTATCATTGGGGCAAATTATTAGCTTCTAATAAGGCACTAACTTCAACATTATCAGGCAACTGCATTGCAAAACAATATCGTTATTACTTTTTTTGCAGTGCTTACACTGTGCATTAAACAGGGAGCGCCCATTCCCATTGACTGGACATACAATTAAGCAGTGGAAAACTAGCTCCGGGGCCAATGATAGATGGATAACTTTTCTTGCGTCATGGCTGTCTGCCAAGCCATGCTTATCTTGGCAGAAAGCCATTGCCCACGTCAAGCCGCCTCAGCTGGGTGAAGGATGCATTTTTATTTTCATTTCCATCCATGCACCTGCTTGTTTGTTAGTTAGCAAAAGCAGTAAAGCTCTGAAGACGGCCGTTTATATGTTTGCTTTTAACTGGAACTTGTCCAGTAGTGATTGAGAGAGAAAAAAACAAGAGCCTTCTGCACCAAGCTTAAAGTGCTCTACTAAAAATCAATATCGCTGCTCCCGTTAATTGTATGTAGTGGTGGAATAACTCTAGTAGGGTCTATAGCGCAACGTATACACATTGCTACAACAACAAGCCCCCTGGTGCTGTATAAGCAGGCACAATTGATGTTCATTAAGGCTCACTCCAAAGGCGGAGGTGCAGCGGCAGATTCTGAAGACAAGATTGTTTACTACCTTCAGCAATAGTTAGGTATGGGTTGCGTAAAAGGAGGAGAGGGTGCAGGCATGTCTTTTGGAAAGAAAACGACCGGAGTTAAGACCGCAAAACAAAAGCAGAATGCGTCTGTGCAAGATGTCACCTCCGTGAGACAATCTTTATTGAGCTCAGATTATTCAAGACAGCATTGTTCTTGGAATCACAGCAGCCCCCAAAACATTTCCACTAGAATAAGTTCGTCTCAGAGAGGGGATTCAAAGGGTTTCAACAGGGGATTATTTGGTAACGACGTCTGGGCTTGCTCAAAGGTTAACCCTAAAAGCACAGGACAGCTTCAGCCAAGATAAAGGAGTTGCTGGATCTAGACCCGTAGGATAGGTCTTATGTCAGTGCTCGCCCAAATTAAGAGGAAGTGCAGAGGAAGCCGGGTTTCGACTGGGGCTGCAGCTCTCTCTGGCTCCCGTTCACTTTGGGAGATTGTCCCTCTCACCCTGCAGCCCTTACCCACAATGCCGCAGTCGGGTTGTTGATTCACTTATCAAGAAGCTTTGTTGTGTGCATGTGCGAGAAAGACAGAGAAAGACAGAGATCAGGAATACTTTGGAAGAGGTCCTTGTCTGAGCAAAGATGGAAAGTGAACAGAATTAAAGGAGATGCGGCAAATCACACCAGTGATGAGATTTCTCATTCGCACAGCAACTCTGCTTAAGAGCCAAATATCTGAGCACCATCATGTTGTTGTTTGCGCATCAGAGGGGGGTTGCACATTCAATCACAAAGGCTGAAAACCCCCACGGGGAGAGAATAAAGAAGTATCGTCAGCCTGATTAGAGGGCATAAAATAAGAACTGTCACCTCTGTGACTGTTTGTTACTAACACCCCCCTATTTAAGGCAGGAGTCGAAGCGATACCTCACTGTGTAGCCTAACTGAATATCCACCAGGGAATCAGAAACAAATATTTGAAACAGCCATCAACCAGGATTGGATGAAGCCATCCTTCCCCCCCTCCCCTTGTAAACTGAACTGCTGAACTGTAATATTCAAAGTGTTTAAGAGTGATGAGAATGCTTGATTACCCAGCGGGAAAACTGGAGAGTCAATCAGAATATGTTTATGATCGAGCTGGCAACCAAAACACACCTGTAGCTTTTAATATTAGTTTACACCTTAATGGCTTCTGACTTAATGGAAGCTGTTCAAGCCTAGCAATTTATGCTGTCTCACTAGAGTGCAAGATGAATACGCAAACTGTTTTTTTGTGGCCTCTGAAGAAATGCCAGAAGCTCTTTCTGACAAAGAAAATGGATCATTTTACTGAGCTGCACAGTTCCGGGATTGTCTGAGTTTTTTTTTTTTTTTTTTTTTTTTTTTTCCCAGACAACGTCAAAACTAATAAACTATTTGTTATGCTCACTCTGAAAGTAAATACCCAATTAAGCATCGTTTTTTAAAAACTTTCTAGGGATTTTTTTTTTTTTTTCAAACTCATTTGGCCTGTGTAAAGAAAAAAAAAAGATCTATCTTGGATTTGATGACACTTGTTTCATTAAACACTTGCCACAACCTGCCACAACTGACAGCTATTATTTACGAGGCTGCTGAAAGTGAAAGTTCACTCCTTGTGTTTTTTTTTTTTTTTACTAGAGGTGAAAAGGGTTGACGTTCGCAGCTCTTTTGGAGGGAGCCGACTGAAGCGGGGACAGGAAGCAGCAGCGCTCACAGCTGCTGTGAATACCGCAGCGACTTGTTCACTTTGGATGAGGGAGCAGAGAGATAACTGCTGGGAGCTTCGAGCTGGAGCTGGAAGCTTTCACTGAATGTTGTGACGTTTCTATCCGCTGCCTGCCACTTTCCCAGCATAGAAGCTGCAGCCTTTATCAACAGATCCTGTGGGAAAGCGGGCTGTCTCTTTGGACGCAGTGCACTGATTTGGACGACTAACATTTACCATATCCTACAGTGACATTTATCTTTTGACCTCCGTTTTCTATACACCGGTGCTTGAAATTGCATTGCGTATTTAAACATTTAAGAAATTGTTGTTGTTTTTATTATTATTATTTTTATGAAATTACCTAAAGTTTTCTATCTTTTTATGGGAACAGAATTCACTTACAAATGTTAATCTTCAAAACGATATTGCTTTTTCTTAGAGTGACAGTTTGGTACTGTCATTTCCAGGCTGATTTATGAAATGTTTTATTCATCAAACGGTCGTCGTGAGTTTTTAGTCTTTTCAGCCAAGATTCTTCAAGTCCTTGCGGTGTAATGATGAATGCTTTCTTTAGAAAATCTCATAAAGTAAAAATGAAAATAAAATCAGATAGTACTCATCTTATTGACATCATCTGTGGCACTGATTCTTGTTTAATTACAAAAAGGTTCATCGGCACTCTTTAGGGATTATAATGCTCTGCAAAAAAAGTATTCTCAATTCTCTGTGTGTCACATTTTTACATAGCCACATGTTTCATTTTATAGTACAGGGATTTCATGTGATAATAATTCCCTGTTTTTAGTTCTATCCATTTTCTCTTTTCTCTGGCCAGCAAAAAAAAAAAAGACAAACGCATATCCGTTTTTAGAGTAGGGAGGGAGTGTTTATCACTGTTTTTTTGCCACATATACTATGTTGAATTAAGACCAAAACAGTAAAACTTATGTTAGCTATTAAGTCATAATGTTTCCACTTTTACAAAGTGAATGAAGCAGTGTTTTCTCACACAATCCAGCTTTAAATGTCATTCTCTGAGGCTTTCAGAAAACAATGAACTACAGGCGATCTCTATTCACTGAATGGTGACTTTTATTTGTGGTCACAAAGTAAAGGGGATTACAAATGTGCAACATTTTTTCTTTTTTTTTATCAAAAATGTTGAAAATAATTTTCCATCTGCTTTGCAATTATGTACTACTTTGTATTGGTCTGTCACATAAATGTCCAATATAACATGTTGAAATTTGTGGGTGGGATGTGAGAAATGATAAAAAAAAAATAAAACAAATCAAGAGGCATAAATACTTTTTCAAGACACTGTAGATTGTCACATGCACCCTGAAAGACATTAAATATAAAATAAGGAAAATGTCACAGCTCGATGTTGTGAGCATCTACATTTGTGTGTTTATTTACTTCCATTCTTTTCATTAGCCGTCTCTGAGTTATCAAGCGCACAAAGAGCATTTACATGCAGACGACCCCTTTTTTTTCAGACTGCTGTGTGTTTGCCACATAAAGAACGATTCCAGCCTGAAGTGACGACGCTCAAGCTCACAAAAGTGAAAACATGCTGACGCGTGTCCTCTTGCGCTTTGCTGTCCCTGCAGTTTGCTCCCAGTTCTCCCGCGGGGTGTACGCCATCTTCGGATTCTACGACAAGAAGTCCATGAACACCTTGACCTCCTTCTGCGGCGCTCTGCACACCTCCTTTGTCACGCCCAGTTACCCCACCGATAACGAGGTGCAGTTTGTCATCCAGATGCGGCCGACCCTGAGGGGCGCTGTGCTCAGCCTGCTCTCCTACTACAAGTGGCAGAAGTTTGTTTACCTCTATGACACCGATCGAGGTAAGTTGAAGAGTCTTGAGCCGGGCTCATACGGACTGAATTACAGTGGAGAACTGCATTGCAGTGACTCCATAAAGCTAGTGCGTAGCAGGATAATGGAAAGTTTAAATTTGCTCTGTAATACCTCATGGGAGCCTTATGAAGAGTTGCACTGTTATAACTCTCTAATAGAATATTTTGGTGTTATGAAAATATAAAATGCATTCACTTGCAAACCATCACCCTTGTAATACTCTACCCCTCTAAAAGCAATAGCACTTTTATGAGCTATAGCATTTGAATCCGTCTAACAGTTGACTGGTTGATGCCAGTTAATCTCCTCTTTAATCGTGTTGTTGATATTGGCTCGTCTTTCAACTGAAATGAGGATGTCACAGCTGCTACTAAAGTGTTTCCAACCGAAGTCAGACTCTCCGGCGGCCTGCGGGAGTCGTTCACTGTGTTGCTTCAATGGGGGTCTCTGTGCAAGTTCCCAGATTGCCTTGCATTGTGGATGCTGTGTACATGACAACCTGTCAACACAGGAAAGTGTTAATTTGTTGGATTTCTAATGTCAGGCGGGGAAATGAGCTCATTATCTCTCAGTAGAAAGACGATCCTCTCCTCCTACAGTAGCTTCAATTTGTTCAAACATCACCTTGCCGGGGGGAGAGGGAGATTTCCAGGAGATGACAGACGAAGTCAAAATATCTGTTCCTCTTTGTAGGCGTGCCAGAAACAGTGTTTTCCTGGGAACGTGCATTGTGAAGTGGGGTTGCTATATTTAGTCCTTATAGAGAAAAGCCCTGACCAGCAGAGCCAGTGCTGTGAACAAGTATTTATTCTTTTAGCTTTTTTTGTCACGTTTTAAGACCATGAAGAAATTTTCACGAACAGTTTAAAATAAATTTAAACACAAGGAGATCATATTTTAAGACCTCTAAAGGCTTATTTATGTTGTCATAGATGTTATTTTTGAATATTTTGTTGATTCTACAGATCTGGCAGCTTTAGTGAAATTGAACTTAGTTTTCCAAAAGGAATAAAAATGAAAATATATTTTTTTAGCCACAGTAAACAAGTTAACAAGAAGGTGATTACTTTTTCACATGGTGTTAGGCTAGTTGGGACGATTACATTTTCATATATATATAAAACTATCATTTTAATAATTGCTTTTTTGTATTTCCTTGAGTTATCCTTGCCTCATAACACAACATTTAGGTTTAATAAAAGGCAAGAATGGAAAACATAGAGGCAAATGTTTAAATTTTATACAACCGTTTAATCCCAGCCACATTTCTCTTCCGCATTCTGCTTCCTTACTTGGATCTTTTGAAGTCCAGTCTCACATTCCCATCTTCATCTAAATTCAGGTTTGAGGCAGAGTATGAAGTGGGTTTTCATGCAGAGTCCTCTTTTCCTGGGTCTCCAGGCCTGTACGGTCCACAGCTAAGGGCCTTAATCCTCTGCACAGCCTGTAGATAATGTGTGGTTAATTAGGGTCACTCTGACTAGGACACTCATTGGATCTCCCCTGCGGATGCAAGCAACCCACATGTCCTTCAGAACAACCAAATACTGCTCAGCCCCTGTGCTTCTTCTTTTTTTTTTTTCTTTTTTTTTTATTTTACTTTCTGTAGTGTCTGAAACTTTCTGGGATAGAGCTGGAGTCATATCAGAGGAAAATGGCCTGAAATTCAACACTGCAGGAAGTATTGGAAAGATGGAGAGGTAGTGATGACAAATAGACATGGTCTTTTAAAAAATAAAAAAAAAACAAAATGGCAAAAGGGGGCAACAGAGGGAGGTAAAACAAGAAAGAAACAAACAGGAAGCAAACACCAATTCAGTCTGGCAATTAAAGCAACAGCAGGCGCCTGTGATTTACAGCCTGTTACCTGTGTACAGACAATTCCCAGCGTAGAGCACATCCGCGTGCTGAGGCGCATGCCAAGCCACTTTTACCTCTCTGCTTACAGCCAGCGGTGTAAAACGATCCCTTATTAGTGGGAGGACATTGGCCCCAGGAGGGGATTAAAGTCGTTTATTGATGCACTTCATCCAGCACTTTGGGGGACTTTGACACTTGGCTCATCAAGCAGACAGATGTGTCAGAGAGCCTCTACCTTTGCTTATCAGGTAGTGCAGCTCCCCTGGCATCGTGGACACTGACTGCTGGCCAAAGCAAGAGAGGAGTGACGGGGGGGGGGGGGAAACTGCTTTCAAAGGTGCATGTTTTCCTTTTAGACTCGCTCTGAAGGAAGGGGAAAACTGGCAGACAATTCAATACGCTGTTATTAAATTCTTTCAAATGATTTTTATCTGTTACTCTGATCAGATTTTTCATGCCGACATCTGCACGCTCAAAGAGATGAGATGTGCACTTTGATCCACGACGACAAATTCTAGTTTTTTCAGTCAAATGTTGACTTGATTTGATAAACTAAAACAAAAATAAAACAAAAATATTAGGGAAAGGGCAAGATAACCCCCCGCCCCCCAAAACCTGTCTGTTATTCTACTTTTCTGTGTCTGTATTTTAAACTTAAATGGTTTTAAGGGTTAAATTATATAAAGCAAAACATTTAAATCTGGTTAAAACACAGAATCCATATTGATCAGTGTACAACACATATGTTTTACATATTTGGGACACTTGTGACCCAAATAGTAATTTTTTTTAGAGAAACGGGGTAGAGAAAGAAACTGAAGACATGTCGCAAATGTCCTGAGACCGGGAATCGTGAAGTGCAACAATCTCTTAACAATTCTGTTTTCAAAGCTTTGTTGAGATTTTTTAATTAGCCCTGTGATCCAACCGTCCAAAGGTAAAACCTAGAAGTCTCTCATGTCTTGGCCAACCAAATAAAGGAAGACCCCCTGGAAACTTTACCCTTCCTAAAAAAAAAACAAATGAAATAAACAATTTTTAGTTTTATTATCATTTAAATCACAACATTCTTCCCATATGCATAGACCACCATCTTCTTTGCCATTTCATTTACTTTCCCACATTGTGTTTTTTCTGTTTTTATTGGTTTACTGTTTAGACATCAGTACAAGGGGTTCATAAAAGGCTCCGTATGGGCCGACATGCAGAAATTGGTCCTCAAGGTCGCAGTTGCATGATGAAAATCGCATCATTTTGTTCTCGGCCTCATATCGTCTGTCCCGTCTTGGGAAACTTTTCGTTCTCTGCATGCACAGCTATTGTGTGAATGATCTGAATTTTGTGGCCGTGTTCGTTTATGCGCAAAACAGCCTTGACTGCTCATCTGCCAGAAGCTTTTTCAGCCTGAGAGCCGCATGGCAATTGTCTGAGGCGGTGAGGAAGTATGCACCGTCGGTCCAAAACACCGAGCTCCGCCCGCTCGGTTCTGGTCCTGTGCAGCAGGAGAACGTCCCACTGATGCCTTCTGCTCTCATTTTTTTCCCACAACATGGAAAATAAAATGAGACACTGCAGCTTGTCAACGACTATTTCCTCTTCTTCTGAATTTGTGAACTTCTAATAGTTGTTCCTCTCTGCTATGATTGCTGTGTTTACTATTTAGTTGTAAATCACACAAAACACCATGATGTAGACTGCAGTGGGAGAGGTTTCACAGGAACTCAGCTAGGTGTGTCTTGTGGCCCTTTAAGGGTGTGAGCAAAAACCAACGTCCTGTACGTGGCTTAAAAGTTTCTTTCTTACCTGTTTAGGTGACATTTTCTCCGGGTAAAACATACAATCATCACATTTTAGATGCCATCTTGAATCAAACTACACCTGACAATAATTTAACAACAAAATGAAGGCTTTATGTTAGAACTTTGCCCTGCTGAGAATGTGAGACTGCACGACTTTAGTTTATTGCCAGGCAGTTTTGCTTTGGTGTTTTGTTTGTCTGATGGAAACGCGGCTTTTGCTTATTCTTTTGAAAATGTTTCTTGAAAAAAATTAATCGGGGAGACGTGTTTAGAAAAATAATTTCCATGTACAAGATCTTCAGAGGGGACAGTGGTGAAAACAACAATAAAAGCTAAATATAACACAGTCCCTTTTCCCCTTTTCATGAGAGGCTACATTTATGATGTGCTGAACACAAGCATTGAATTAAATAAATAAATACATGAGAATTGCAAATGAGCCTGTGCTCGGGATGTGCAACACTAATCACCTGTTGAAATATATTTTCCTTTTTGCTTTCTAATTTGTGTTTGATAAAAGATTTGATCATCCACAACACTGGCAGCAACTTTGCAATTATTTTCCAAACTCTCCTATTAGAGAGAAAAATACAGAGAGGGGAAAACAGCTGAGTAGTACCAAGAGGTTTTTATTCAGTCAATAGAAAAGATTAATTACAGCCACACTATTCATTTAGCTCTGTTATTGGACAGGCAAAAAAATGCTTTTAGCCCTCTGTGCCGCGCTTTCAGTCAGAGAGCGATGTCCATACGCTTCAGGCTCGCAAGTATTGGAGAAAAATGATGGGAAATTTGTATCCTAAATGCCAATATGCGGAAGCATTTTGAAAGCAGATGTCACAAAGGAAGAGCAGCAGCTGAAGCAAATGGAGCTTGCACAGGCGGTGTTACACCGTCGTAATAAGAGACTACTCTCCTCTTATCTGTGGTAATGAATTGACAACCTTCCTTATGTGTGCATGTTAATATGCATGTAGATGGAGGGAGATGAAAGATCCAAAGCAACTATCAGAACCCCCTACTTTTATTAATATCTGAACGAATAAGCAGAAGGAAACTCTTCGAACACACACACACACACACACGCACGCACGCACACACACACACACACACACACACACACTCTCTCTCTCTCTCTCTCTCTCTCTCTCTCTCTCTCTCTACAGATACCCCTGTGAAGGGGAACGCTATTGCCCTGCTCTTACAGTCTGCATCATCATATTTCCCCTTAAAAACTGGAGCGATATGGGATGATCGGGTGAAGGTAGATGGATCCTGCCCTTTCTGTTTTTGCGGTCAGGTATGGGCAGATAATTGCCAGGTCTGTG